CCGGGGACAGAGACGGGGTGGTTGCTGACTGTGCAAAGCAGGACCACGCTGAGCCTCTGAAGGGGCTGAGCAGTGGGGACAAGGTGGAGAGGAGGGGCGACTTGAATGTGAGCAGAGGCCGTTGGGGTGTGGGGAGCTGGTTCTGGATTACTAAAGGGGCTCTGACTCTGCTTTCTCTCTCTGCACACCGCCCCCAAGTCTGCAAAACCTGCATCGTGCGCTACCTGGAGACCAACAAGTACTGTCCCATGTGTGACGTGCAGGTCCATAAAACCAGGCCGCTGCTGAGCATCAGGTGGGCCGGGCACTGTCCCTTCTGCCACACTGGTCCTCTGTCCCTCGGCCCTCCTTGCATCCCGTAGCTGTGGTGGCAGTTTGAAGAGAAGCACAGGGTGTCAGCCCAAGGCCCTTCCCCTCCCTCTGTTTTGTCTAGGCTGAGAAATACCAGAAGGGTAAAGACCACGCCCATGGGGACCTTGATACCTGGGCCTTGGATCAAGGAAAGGAGGCGGTAGTAGGGGTTCCTGGCTGGGGAAATTAGGGTGAGGTGGTCACGGACAAGACTCTATGTGTTTTTTTCCAGATCTGACAAAACCCTTCAAGACATCGTCTATAAACTGGTCCCTGGGCTTTTTAAAGGTATCCATGCAGCCTTTTTCCTGCTCCCTGCGCCCCCCACTCCCCTGCCTGGCGCTCCGTCCTCACACTTCCTCCCTCTTCCAGATGAGATGAAACGGCGGCGGGATTTCTATGCAGCATACCCCTTGACTGAAGGTGAGTGTGTTCACTTGTCCGTTCACAGGAGTACACGAGGCTGCCACAGGCACGCGGGCTGGGTGCACTGGGATATTTGTCCCGTATGTCCCAGCTCTCTGCCGCCCCAGCCCACGGGTAGGCTGGGCTCACCCCACTGAGCTCCGAGATCCTGGGGTCCTTGCTGGGCCTCCTTTCCTGGTCCTAGGCCAACCCCTCAGAGCCCTCTCCTTCCACAGTCCCCAACGGTTCCAATGAGGACCGCGGTGAGGTCTTGGAGCAGGAGAAGGGGTCTCTGAGTGACAATGAGATTGTCAGCCTCTCCATCGAGTTCTACGAAGGTGTCAGGCAAGTCAGACCCACGCCTGGTCTTTTGGGGGTCCTAGGTTGGGTCGCCCCTTCTCTCCCACCCTGGCCCCCTTCTGGATGTGTGTGTTAGGGGATCCTGCCTGTTCCAGGGTCTCCCTAGCATCATTCTTCGTTCTCCCCCAGGGACCGGGAGGAGAAGAAGGGTCCTCTGGAGAATGGGGATGGGGACAAGGAGAAGGTGAGTGCTGGGGACCTGCTTAGGAGTGGGCTGTGGACTGGAAGAGAGTGCCTGGTGTGGACCCCAGCCCTTGGGTGCCTCTCCTCCGGCAGACGGGGGTGCGATTCCTGCAATGCCCAGCGGCCATGACTGTCATGCATCTCGCCAAGTTTCTTCGCAACAAGATGGATGTGCCCAGCAAGTACAAGGTGAGTCCCCAAGACCTTTCAGAAACTCAGTGTCCGTGTGTGGCCGTGTCTGACAGTCTGGGTGTCCCAGCCGTTTCTCTGAGCTGGCTGGGTGTCGTCAAGGGCCTACGTGGTTGTGTGACTGAGCTGAGTAGAAGAGTAGTTGAAACCAAGATTAGGGTGGGGCCATCTTCATCGTTGAAGCCAGCGTGCAGAGGCATATGGGACCAAGATGGAGGGTGCGTGCGCGCACGCGTGCACACTGCGTGCTTACATGCTCATAACTGTGGCAGAGGTATGTGTGCAAAAATATGGGCTCTTACCTGGGGCGAGCTGGCTGAAAGAAGGCCAGTCTGAAATTCTAACGGTGCTCTCGGACGTTGCTTCTCAAATTGGAATTTGTCGGTGATTCTCTAAAGATCTTGTTAAAGCATAGATTCTGATTGGTAGATTCTGCAGGTCTAGCCAGCTCCCTAGTGCTGCCAATACTACTGGTCTGTGAACCACACTTCGGGGGTCAAGGCCCTAGGACAGTGGATCCCAAACTTTGCCCCAGATCAGAATCACACAGGGAGCTTTAAAACCCAACTTATGTCCCGCCGTTTGAATCAAAATCTCTGGTGAGATCCAAGCGTTGGTATTTCTTTTAAAACTGCCTGGGTGAGAGCCAGTGCTGGGCGAGATCTTTCTCACCGGGGCTTTTTCTTTGCACCCATGATCTCTGGAGGACCGGCCAGAGATGTAAGGGGCCTCAGACAGCTGTGTGGCTGGACTGTCGGCCAGGGCTGTTAATGACCTGGGTGCTTTCTCTGGATCCTTTCCCATCTGGTGGGCAGGAGTTCTGTTGGGACAAGTCCGGGAAGGAAGCCAAACCCACCATGAAACCCCAGGGAAATAAGGGAACACCTGCTAGTCCCTCCTTCCCAGTGTCCTACCTCCCACCCCTAGCTTTGAGCCTCATTGCCAAATGGGTGGAGCCTTGAACCTGACTGGGGTTCATGGCGTCCTCTGTCTCCTCATCCAGGTGGAGGTTCTCTACGAGGATGAACCACTGAAGGAATACTACACCCTCATGGATATCGCCTACATCTATCCATGGCGGCGGGTGAGCTGAGCGGGTCGGGGCTGGGTGGGGACAGGGCGGGAGGGGAGCTGTGTAGGGTCTGGCGTCCATCTGTGGCCATAGGGGCCGCACAGTGACCAGTAATCCCCATTTGGGCCTCGTCCTGTAAGCTGGGCCTGTCCAGGGTGGCTTGCCACAGCCGGCCAGCCTCCAGGCCATATTTCGTGATGACCTGCCACTCTCTGAAAAAGAGGGTCCTTTGGCAGATGACATGCCCTGATTTGGGTCAGGAAGGAGGGTCGGGTGGCTATTGATGGGGAAATGTCACCCCTCACTTTTTCGGCCTCCCTCTCTCCTGTCCAGCCTCTGGCCTTGCGCATTCTTTCTGTCTCTGTGGGTCTCTGTGGGCTGCTGTACCTCTGGCCTCACTCGGTCAGTCTGTCCCCTTCTCTCCAAGGCCTGGACCCCTTTCTTCCTGTTTGGGCACCAGGGGATGAGGGTTGGTTAGCCCCTTTCTCCTGACACCCTCCCTTTCCCCTGCCTCTCTCTGGCCCCTCTCCCTGCAGAACGGCCCTCTCCCCCTCAAGTATCGGGTCCAGCCGGCCTGCAAGCGGCTCACCTTGCCTACAGCGCCCACCCCCTCGGAGGGCACCAATACCAGCGGGGCATCTGAGTGTGAGTCAGTCAGCGACAAGGCTCCCAGCCCTGCCACCCTGCCGGCCACCTCCTCCTCCCTGCCCAGCCCAGCCACCCCCTGCCATGGCTCTCCCAGCTCCCATGGGCCCCCGGCCACCCACCCTACCTCCCCCACCCCCCCTGCGTCTGCCAGTGGGGCCACCACAGCTGCCAACGGGGGGTCCTCGAACTGCCTGCAGACACCATCTTCCACCAGCAGGGGGCGCAAGATGACTGTCAACGGAGCTCCTGTGCCCCCCTTAACTTGAGGAAAGGGACCCTCTCCCTCCTTTTCCAGCCATGCCTCTCCACCCCTCCACTTTTTCTGGGCCCCTTTTCCACCTCTTCTACTTTCCCCAGCTCCTCCCGCCTTAGGGGTGGGGGGCGGGTTTTATAAATAAATCTATATATATATGTACATAGGAAAAGCCAAATATACATACTTATTTTCTATGGGCCAACCAGATTAATTTAAATGCCACAGGAAACAAACTTTATGTGTGTGTGTATGTGTGGGGGGTGGAGTGTTCATTTTTTTAGGGGGTCTTGTGTAATTTGCCCTGCTCTCATTTTGGGGGTGCCTGGAGGTGGACTCGAGGGGCAGTCAAGCTCTACTCCATCCTCCTTTCGTTTCCCAAGGCAGGTGGGGTGTTCTGGGAGCCCTGCCGGCCCCCAAAGCTTTAGGCACAATTCCAACTGGCTGTGTATGGGGTCTAGCCTCTCTCCCTCCACCTTGACTGCTGTCCTGCCCCTGCCAGTGCCCCCCGCCCCCACTGTTGAATGTCCAGAGAATCGCTAAGACAGTGCCTTTTACAAATACAGTTTATCCCCTGGTTCTGAGGAGCGAGTCATGGTAGAGATGTCATCTCCCTTACCTCCTCCTCTTGCAGTGGAAACTTTGTGCAAAGAATAGATAGTTCTGCCCCCCCCCCCAACAACGTGCATGTGGCCTTTGCATCATTTATCTTGTGGAAGAGAAGCTTTGGGCCACGGGAGGCCTCAGCTCTTGAAATCCCACTGTGGCTCGCACTGTGGCTTTAGCCGGGTGAATGCTTGGCCCGGTTCTGCCCCTGCCTGCACCCCGGAGCCCCCGACCGGCCAGGCTGGTTTTTGGCCAAGTCCCACCTAGGGGCCTAGAGTGCAGTGGAGCGTCTCCCACAAGCACAGACCCCAGATTGTGCTGAAGGCCGGCAGCCCTCCAGTCCCCTCCCCACCCCCAGCTGAGGCCGAGTCAGGACGCAGCCACAGAGGCAGCGAAAAGCACAAGAAGATGGAGACCTGTAAGCTCTGACCTTGGCTCTGTCCCAAGAGGTCCGTGGACTGTCCCCTGCGAAGGGCGGACCCCAGCAGATCCCTGGCTACCTGTTTTTCCTCCAGTGTACATAGATCCTATGGGGGAGGAGGCAAGACTCCCTTGCAACCTAGGTGGTTGGGGTCGGCACCACCCCCCATCAGGTTTGTCTGTGTTTGCACCTTGTCCTGTGTCTGAGGTGCTGTGATTGTACCCTCCTCCCACCCTGGGACATTTGTATCTCCTGGCTTTGTAATAAATGCTGCATACTCTCCAGAAGCTGTAATTCTTTGGGGGACGGGGGACAGGGAGCGGGGGGTGGGGGGGTGCGGCCTTCAGCTTCCACCTCATGTCTCTTGTCTCTGAGCTCGACCTGCCTCAGGAAGGCCCATAAGGAATGAATGTGAACTGCCCCCTCCCTGTGGCCAGTCGGATGTCCCACCCCAGGTTAGGGCCCCGAGCAGGGGCAGACCGTGTGCCCCCCACCAGTGACCACAAGAGCACTGTGCTGGGTGGGTACAGCGTTTAATGCCACTTTCACCAGCAGGTGTTGAGCCAGGGGTGGGGTCCCCAGCTGCCTGAGAGACCTCAGGTCTTGGGAGTAAGCCCTTCACAACCAGCAGATGGGACTGGGGTCCCTGGGTGGTCCCTTCTTGGCCTCAGCACTCCGTTTCCTTCCCCACAAAAGGGGTGCCCACCAGAGGCCTGGGGCTGGTCCCTCAGAGCGGGGAACCCACTTCTGCCTTCTGCACCCGCTCACTCCGGTGGGTGCCATCGCAGTACGGGGCCTTCTGGGTAGCCTTACAGGTGCAGAGGGCCACTGTGCGGGTCTCCTGGGCCTTGAACTTGAGTGGGGATAGACCGGTGCGTTGGAAGAAGTGAGAGCCGTCACAGAAGGGCTGGTGAGGAAAAGAGACGTTAGAGACCCAACCCCACCTGCTGGGGTGGGGCAGGTCTGGAAGGAAGGCCACTGAGTCTAGGGACTGGGTTCTCGAGTGAGACTGCCTGGGTCCCTAGTTGACCACTCTCATCTGAGAGTGAGAGTGTGTGAGAGTGAGAGGAATTTATGAAATAAATTGTGGTTCTTATGCACTTTGCCCACAGATAGTGTTCAGTAAGTAGGAGTCCTTACAATATTTGTCCCTGGGGACCCCAGAAGACCGGGATAGAATTTTCAAGAAGTGGAACTTTTGGTATCAGCTGTGTTTACACTGATAGTTTTTGTTTTTGTTTTTTTCCTTAATGTCTCTGAGTCTCTACTGGCTCATGCAATTCATTTCCTTCCACATACTCTCAGGGTAAAAACTTCGCTGCGTGGGAGAGAACCTACATGCCTCACAATGCTTTGCGAATTGGGGTATCAATTTTGTTTGGCTCCGGGGAAACAAGTGGGCTTGTTATAGGGAGTGGATGTCGCAGGGAGGAAGGGTGAACCAGTGCTGGAGAACATTCCCCCATCCTCGATGGAAGCTGTTCCAGCAGAGACTGGGTCATGGAAACTGAGGCCTGCCTTGACTTGCTAGTTAGCGGCAGAGCTGGAGAGGAGGCCTCTTGCCTTTGAGGTCAGGGTAGGGGAGGAGGAGAGATGAGAGAAGTCGACAAATAAAACCCAGCAACCTGCCCCAGAGGGCAAGAGGCAGGAAGGCAGAGTGCCAGCCCGCGCTAAGGCCACAGGGTGGCTGGCACTCCCGGAGCGCTGCTCCACCCCCAGGACTGTTCCCAGCCAAGTCAGTGGCAAAGCAGGACTTGGGACCTGGGCTGTTGACATCACACCGCGCCGCTCAGAGGCACACAGTTCAGAGCCCAGCTCAGGAAGGAAAGGGGCCCTGGAGGCTGGGAATACGGGTCAGGTTCCGGCTGAAAGGAAGGCTCCTGAGGCAGAAGGGAGAGGGAGGCGGAAGCCCGCAGCCCAGAGAGGGAGGGTCTGCAGGAGACAGTGGCAAGGTGCACTTGGGAGCAGGAGAGCCTGCGGTCTCCCCAGTGTTGGGGTCCAAGACCTGGGAACTTACTGCTCAGGTGCTTCCTGGAAAGAGGGAGAGAAGAGGGGAGAGAAACAATTCGGCCTCTTTGGGCTTCGAGCAGAGGGCTCCAAGGAGGGCACACCTGAAGGGGGCGCAGAACCCCGGGACTCCAGCAGCCTGGCTGTGAGACTGAGTTTGTCTCCCTGGCCTCACCTCAGAGGGTGGATGCTGAAAACAGGGAGCTCAGGGCTGTGGATGGCGCTGGCCTGAGTGTTCATTCATCCCCAGCCTCCCTTTGTAGTCCTTCAGGTACGTGTGGGAAAAGAGGAGGGTCTTGGCCAGGAGCTCTCAGGAAAGACCTACTGTCCCAGCCAGGGGTGTCCCATGTCACTGAGAGGTGGGTAGGGGTCTCTCACCTGCTTCTTGCTGCGGCCACACACACACCATCTGTAGGTTTTTCCAGCTACCAACTCCACCTTGATGGGCGTTTTCTGGGCCACCACGGACTTGGCTGGGGTCTTGGGGAACCATCGGGTCTGCAGCAAGGAAGACAAAGGGCTTGGGGTCAGCTCGTCCCCTGGAAGCACTTTCCTGCCTATGGCCTTGTTCCCAGGTTCCTAGTGGCCCTGGCCTATGGCAGGCGTCCTCTGCAGGAGGCTGGTCTGATGCCACCCGACAAGGACATGTCCCCAGGACCCTGAGCTCTAGACAGGGAAAAGATTTCAAGCCCACACAGGCACTCTGATTTCTGGGCCCAGCGGCCTTCCTTTCACACCTGGACTCCCACCCCCAGGGATAGGAAGGGGAGGGCCAGGATCCTGCCACCCTAAGTGGCACCCTAAGTCACCTGCACCTGGGGCTGTGTTTATCAGGCACTACTATTCCCAGCAGAGACGCCTGGCTCCCTGCCCTGTGCCCTCTGTTCACCCCACCTCCCCTGAGCCACCAGGAAGGGGGCTACAGGCAGGGGCCTTCTGACGTTGGAGTCTGGGAAGTGGGGCTGACCCTTCTGGTTCATTCTCTGGTTTCTACCTTTGGCATCTCGGGGCCTGGCAGAGGGAAGTGGAAACGGGGTACTCACCAGCCAGGAGGAGATGTCCCGCCTCTGGTTGAGCTTCTGAAAGGTATGCAGGCATGACTAGACGGTGGTTTGGAAGCAGAGGGGACAAAAAAAAGTCAGTGGAAAGCTTTGGATTTCCAGAGGGAATCCCTCTGGAAGGGACGAGACGCCAGGGATTCGGGGGGTGTAGGAGAAACAGGAGGGTAAGAAAAAGGGGTCACAAGACAGGAAGTGGAGGTGCTGGGAGGCGCTGGCTGCACACAGCCGGCGCTCAGCGAGGAAGGGCGGCCAGGCGGCAGGCGAAGCGGGAGCTGGGGACGCTCAGCCGCGGGGGGGCAGCGGGGACGGGGACGGGGGCGGGGGCGGCCGGCCGGCGGGGGGCGTACTGGCGGCGGGCGCCGCGGGGTCGGGGTGCTCACCCAGGCGGCAGGCCGCAAGGGCGCCCCCACGCCACCGCGCATGCCGGTCCCCGCAGCTGCGCCGCGCCGCGCCGGCTCCGCCCCGCGCCCGGGTCACCTCCCGCTCCCGCCCAACCGGCCGGCCCAACCCGCCGCCGCCCGGAAGACGCGGAGGGGCTCGGCGCGGGTGGGGGCGGGGGCCTGCGCGGTTCGGGTCCTCTCCCTGCCACACCCGGCCGCCGCCGCCGGAATCCCGACCGTGACCGCCCCCCTCCCCTGCAGCCAGTTCGGAGACCCTCTGGGGGAGGCGTGCGGAGGGGGCCGTCCGGCGCCCGCTCCGGTACCATGGCCTCGGCGTTCCCGGCCCGGGCCTTCTCGTGTGGGCGGGGACCTCCCGGGAGCCCGCGGCTCAGGCCGAGGTTCACGGGGAGCGATGCGGCTCCAGCTCATCGCCCAGGGAGGTTGCTTTTTTAACGGCTTGTCGCCCGGCCCGGGCACCCGCATCACCTCCTTGCGGGTGGGCACAGGTATCTGAGTTTTCAACAGGAACTTCGGTGCCTTGGGCTTACTGGTATGTGAACTACTATTCTAAGTGCTTAAAGAAATGTAACAGACCCCCCCCATCCCCTCCCAGGCTCCCACAGTTGGCATCCCCTCCCTTTCCCTTCAGTAAAGCCAGACAAAGCAGAGCACTTTGGATTTTTTTTTTTTTTTTTGTAAAACATTCTTTTATTAAAAGAACAAGTGCTGTTTACGAACTGCCCTTCGTACAAATAACATCCGTTATACAAAGATACAAGATCAGGGTTATGCACAATTCCAGGCTTGGAAGTGAAAGGAGGGGGGCATTGCCTTTTGGGCTGAGGATATAAAGGAGGTTCTAGAAAGAATGTAAAAGGAGCCCCTGGGTTTGCAAACTCTGGCTTCCCCTCCCTGCTCCCCTAAGGAAGGGTCTGCTACATTGAGACAGGCTGGGGTGGATAGGGGGGAGACTGGGGCTGGGAGTCCGGGTTTGGGTCTCCAGTCCTGCCACCTGAGTCCCAAGTTGGGCTGGAGGAAGTGAACAGAGGGCAATGAAGGCACCCCTCAGTCCCCAACTTTTCAGTAGATCAAGTCAAAGCGGTCAGGAGCTAGACACACTTTGAATCCGGATTGACATGACCAGAAGGAGCCAGGGAATTGCATCCCACTGCCTCCACATTCCCCACTGAAATGACCTTAATCCCTCTGGGCATCTCTCCCCAAGAAAAAGAAATTAAGATAAGGGAGAATTGGGAGCAAGCTGCCTACTCCTAACTTTGGCCCACCACACCCCAAGGAAGATGCTGGACGTTGGCAAGGGGAGCCTGTGCCTTTGAAAAGCTTGTCTGCATTTCCAGTTCAGGGAAAGGGAAATGTGGAGGTTTCCCTTTCTCAGAGCTGGTCCCTGGCTCTGGCTCCCCTCACTTGCCGAGGTCCTTCCCTGGAGCGCTTCCCTAAAACTCACTAAAAGAATGGGTGGGGACCTCAAGGTTAGGGCAGCGGTAGACCCAGGAGCCTGAGGGGAAAGACACACAAACAAATAGGAAAAACTTAAAAAAAACAAAAAAAGCAATCTTTAAAGTGTCATTGTCTATGGAGAGGATCCATCAGCTCTGAGCTAAGACAATCAGTGCTACATAGATGCCCTCCCACCCCGGGGCCCAGCCCAGCACTCACACACACAGGGACAGACAGACAGCCACATGGAGGTGCCGCAGTGGGGGGCAAGAGAGCCCAGGACCAGGAGGCCAGGGTCCTGAGGGCTGGTCCTGGCTCTGCCCCGAGCCCCTGCCCCTCCTAGGCTTGGAGCTATCACCTGTGAAGCAAGCAACTGGCTCCAACCATCCCTAAAGATAGGTGCCTTCCAGCTCTGACACTCATGCACCAGTCGTGACCTCAAAGCTGGACAAGGGTTCTGCACACACAGCCCTCACACCTCCACGCTGAGTGTGATGACACACGAAGCTCCTCTCATGCATTTTCAGACTCCATTTCCGCCCTGCAAACCACATCCCTTCTCTCTGCTAGGCAGAGAGAGACCTACGAATCTGTGTCTCTTCCCACTCCTCATCCAAATTCACCCTGGAAAAAGGGACAGAGGCTGGGAAAGGAGGGTGAGGTCGGTAATGCCATTCCCCCTGCACTGGGATCCTGAAGATCTCTAGAACTTTCCTATTATAAAGCTCCCTCTGAAGAAGGAAATGCACAGCCTCACTCATGCCCCATCCCCCGCCCCAACTGAGGGACAGCAGCAACCCATACCCAGCCTGGGTCCCTTCTTCGAACCTCACCTGCCTGCACCCCAGCCTGGGGAAAGCTGGAAAAACATAGGCTCTTGGAGATGAGAACCCCAGGCTCTGGGGTGCTGGGAGGGAAGGAGGGGGGAGGTCTTGGTTCCAGTGCACTAAATCCTAGGGATCTCTCTCTCTCTCTCTCTCTGCCACAGCAGCCTCTGAGCAGACCGGCTTCCCTCAGCATCCAAAACAGACGTTGATTTAGGCTCTTAATGGGCCAGCCTTGGGCAAGGGTGTGAGTGTGAATGAGCGACTCTTCTAAGAACCTCTGAAGGTAATTTTTTTCAGTGGTTTGGGGGCAGGGAATTAGCTTAATAGATGAAGATGAGTAAGATGCTGAGTCCTACCGTTTCTAATTGATATTTAACATTAATAAAAAGTGAGTATTTCTGAGGTCATCACAACTGCCTTCCCCCCACCCCCAAGCCCTTGCAAGTGCCTAAGAAATTGCCTCGGAAAGATTCCCGCCCACCCCCTCCTTTATCAGCTCCCTAACATCTTACAAAGTCTTATCAACAGGAATATTAATATTATTTTCAGTATCAGAAAAAAACCAGTTGAGCAGCACAGGCAAAAATATATCTGCACTACGTTTCTGTCATTGCCAAAAATATACACATCTTCTTTTCTTTATTTAAAAAAAAAAAAACCAACAATAACAAAAACCCAAACAGAAACACACACAAAAAATCCACACATGCAAAGACTGACGAGACACGAGCATCAGGGAAAGCTGGCAACGCCTTCTCCTGGCTCCAACCCCAGTGCAACTGAAACAGGCTTCACCCTCGCCCCTCTCCTGGCTGCCCTGCCCGCCCTTCCGCCTTTGCCATCAAAGGCTCTGGGCAGGTGGGGGCTCTTTAAGGTGAGAGTTGCCCCCTCCACCCCGGGGAAATAGCTGGTGGGTGAAGGGACAGTTGTCAGGTCAGCTGAGGGCTCCCCTGGTTGGTGGGGGGTAGGGGTGGGGTGCGGGGAAGCAAGCTGGCTAATTCTGGGAGGGAGGTTTTCTCCAAAGGAAGTGGCATTTCACCCCCCCCTTTGCCCCATGCCCCCCAGATCCCTGGGACTCCCCCTGGGCCAGGGAAGCAGGGCCAGCAATCAGTGGGAGAAGGGGAGCTCTGAGGGGGCAGTGAAACCATGTGGAGGTCTGGGGGAGGGAAGGCAGGACATTACCCTGATTCAAAGCCCCCAGCCCCCAGTTACTCTCCAATACTGGAGTACTGTTCTGGTTTTTGCTAACCATTCACAGCCCAGAAAGGGACCAAAGTTGGTGAGGTGGGAGGGTGCAAACAAAAGCTGGGAGCCCCCCTTCTGGTGCTGCCTCATCTGAGCACTGCTCCTATCCCTGCCCTCGGCTGCCCCAGGTCCAGGGGGAGTCAGACAGACAGACAGACACACGCACAGACACACATGCACACGCGCACAGGCACACACGCTCTCTGAGTCAGGCAGCTCCATCTTCCCACCCTCCGCACTCCTAAATCCAATAGTGCAAACAAGGGGGAGGGCACCAAGGGGGCTGAGCCATGCCCCCCTGCCCTCCCCCATCCTGTCGCGGGGGGGGGGGGGGGGGGGCAGGGGGTGGCTCCCGAGAGGTGGGGAAGCATGGGCTGAGTTTGGTGCCATCCTGCCCCTTCCTCAGCTCCCTCATCTGCGGGGCCGTTCACAAGCTCAGCCTGTAACCCTCGCTTGGGGGGCAGGGGCAGGGGAGCGGGGAGAGACAGTCCAAGAGATCTCTTCCACCCTCTGCCCAAGTCGGGGAGAAACTGCAGGTAAAGCAGGGCCGCCCTTTCTTTTGTAAGGGATTTCCGCGCGTGGGCAGGCCCAGGGCCTGTCCCCCCACTTCTCCCCACTCAAGTGCTGATCCATTTTATGTGGGGGGGTCCAAACAAACCCCCACTTATGCCATGGCCCATGTGGCTCTTGGAGGACCTCAAAACATTGCTGAGAGTGGGGGCTCCTAGGTGGGTTTGGAGCCTGTCCTCCCTCTGAGCCCCTCACAAAGGGGCTGGGGAGAGGGAGAGGGGGCCAGTGGTGGGGGCATCCCTCTCCGGCTCAGTCCTTGGCACCAGGAGCACCCCACACTCCCCAGGCCTCAGCACGAGCTCTGAGCTGGGGCTCTCCAGTGTCTGGGTGCGGTGCCCGCTCCAGGCTAGGTAGGACCCCTCAGGCCAAGATCTGCCCCCTCCATTTGGGGGTCAGGAGGGGCTGGGTGGATTTAGCCTTTTTCCTGGTTGGCTGAGGTTCCTTTGTCAGCGGTCTGGAAAGAGAGGGAGGGAGGCTGGGGCTTTAGGAGATGTCTGGTTCTAATACCCGGTTGAGGTCAGCCACCAGGGGCAAGGCCGCTGCTGCAGGATACAGCGAGGGAGCCCTGCTGAAGCCCCTGCCCTGGGGTCTTGGGCTAAGGGTGTGTGTGTGTGTGTGTGTGTGTGTGTGTGTGTGTGTGTTGGGGGTGGGCGGTGAGGGCAAGGTGCCCTGTGCAAGCTGAGCAAGGTCGGCTCCCTGGGCGACGACTATATGCCCTCAGAGGAAGTGGGGGGTGGGGCTTTCCCCAAAAGGCCCACCCAGAGCATCAGCTTCTTCTAACTGGACCACTCAGAGAGGAAACAGACTTCTCTAACTGGTCTTCCCAGAGGAGCACTGTTTTCGAACTGGTCTTTTGCTGTTAGCCCACACTGGGAGTTTATCTCTGGCAGAGCAAGCAGAGGCCCCCGGGCCTGGGGTAGGGTGCCTGGCTGACCTCAGGGTTGCTTCCTTCCTCCTTAGGATGCTCCCCTCCCCACCCAACCTGGAAGAGAAGGCGGACAGGACAGCTGAGGGGGGGGGGCTACTCACCCCTCCTTTGGGGCCACTGCTGTCCGCCCCCGCCAGGCTGAGGAAGGGGTTGGTCTGGGCCGTGAGGACTGGAGGTCCGCCTGCTGCTGCTACTGCTGCAGCAGCCGCCGCTGCGGCCATGAGACTCGTGTTGCCCAGTGAGGGAGCCACCAGGGCCCCGGCAGGCAGCAGCGGGGGGGCGGATGCTGCGGGCAGCAGGCCAGGGGTGCCCGCGGACAGCAGCGGGGTGGAGCTTCCTGCCAGCAGACTGGCCATGGGCAGCTGGGAGCCCCCAGCCATCTGCAGCCTCTGCAGCTCCCGCTTCTGCTGGATCTGCTGGATCATCTGGTAGACAACGGTCTGGTGTTCCTGCAAGGGGGCCAGACGGCTCAGGGGCCAGTGGTCCCCACAGCCAGCATGCCCTGCTCGGCCCAGGGCCCCAGCCCGTCTCACTGGAGCCCTGACGGAAGAGGCCTGGGGGACAGTCAAGGTCCTGTCTCCAATTCCCCACTCGGGGCCTCAGTCTCCCCATGTGGATAAGAAAGGGGCACCTGGTTGGCTCAGGGAGTTAAGCCTCTGCCTTTGGCTTAGGTCATGATCTCAGGGTCCTGGGATCAAGCCCCCATTAGGCTCTTTGCTCAGCAGGGAGCCTGCTTCCCCCTCTCTCTCTGCCTGCCTCTCTGCCTACTTGTGATTCTCTCTGTGTCAAATAAATAAATAAAATCTTTAAAAAAAGAAAGAAAGAAAGAAAGAAAGAAAGAAAAAGGAAGGAAGGAAGGGAGGGAGGGAGGGAGGGAGGGAGGAAGGAAGGAAGGAAGGAAGGGAGGAAGGAAGCGGTTGTGGCCCTTAGTGTCAGTCAACCCTGGTCGACAGGGCACTCCTGGCCCGAGTGCAGGGAGGACCTCTGCCAGCCCTGGCCCCACCCCCTGGCTGCATCAGTTCCTCCGTTGCTATGACAACCACAAATGCCCCCAGGGGTGGTATGACCCCAAGTTGAGAGACAACTAGGCTGGGTCAATAGTATTCAACTCCCCCTCTTTCTGTTTTGTTTCTTTTAAGATTCATTTATTTTTGCTTTGAACAGGCAAGGCATTGTCGGTGTTCCAAACACCAACAAAATGATTTCAAGGTTTACCTTAAGAAATCTTGCTCCTACCCCTGTTCCCATCTAGCCCCTGTAGGTAACCAACTGAATTGGTTTCTAGTGTTTCTTTTTAGGGAGACGATGATGTTTTCTGTGTTTTTAAATTCCCTCCTTTCAAAAAGGTAGAACTCCTTTTCTCCAAGAGGAAGTCTTCACAGAACCCAACATACAGCGCAGACCCAAAAGGGGCTGCTCTGGGTGAGGGGATGTCCACTTGCTCGGCCACAGACCCTGCAGCTCCCCTTGAAGATCCTTGGGGCTGGGATCAGAAACGCCCGGAACTGGGGATTCACCACCCTCCAGACCATCTCACTAGGCGGTGAGCATCCCTTCTGCAATGCCTGGGCCTGAGAGCAACCCTGATCGCCTCCGTGCAAACCGCCCCCCCCCCCCCCGCCCGCAACATGTCCCGCGGGGGGTCCAGCCTGGGGTGGCCCTCCCTCCCTTCTGAGCTGGGCCCTGGCCCCCCAGGAGCTGGAGCTGCCAGGAAGGGAGGGCATTACCGGAGTCAGCTGCGGGGAGGCCAGAAGCTGCTGGAGCTGCTGGAGCTGCTGCTCTTGCTGCTGCAGGAGATGCCTCTGCTGCTCCGTGAGGCTGAGGCAGGGGGACAAGACACAGACTATGGGAAGAGGCAGGGAAACATTCCTCCCCTACCCTGGCCCCTCCCAAGTTCCCAGACTCCCTCGGTCCCAGGAGGAGAAAGTGGGCTATGCGGTTTTAGGGCAGGACTATGGAGAAACAGAGCAAGCTCAGAGACCACCCGGAAGGAGACAAGTTCGATGGAAGAACTTTCCCAGAAGGGAAATCAAGACTGGGGGTGCAAGAAAGAAACAGGATTTTGTCCCAGGAGAGCACACCCAGAGGGCACTCACATCTCACATGTAGGGAGTACCTGGGGCTGAGAGGTGACTAGATTCTACACCCTGTAAGACTGGAGAACATTCTTCCTTTTGGGGGGACTGTGGGTGTTGGGGGGAGCCCCTCCCAGAGCCAGCCTCCCCATCCCCTTCCCCAGGCTGAGCTCTCCCTCACCTGTTCAGACAACCCGGCAGCTGCAGTGCGGGGGCCCCGCCAGCCTGGCTCAAGCCTGCAGGGTTGGGGGCGGCAGCCCCATTCAACCCCCCCAGGAGCCCATTGAGGGGCAGGGCCCCGCTGCCCGCCAGCCCTCCCAACAGCCCCTCAGCCATAGGCATGGCCCCCAGCCCCGCCGCCCCCGGTGCCCGCCCCAGCCCATTCTGTGGCTGGGGCGGGAGCGGGGCAGGGGCCCCAGGCAGGGCCAGGGGCAGAGTGGCAGGGCTCTGCTGGAGCAGGGGCAGCGGTGGGGGCGTGCTGTGGAAGGACAGCGACGAGCTGCTGCGGCTGGGGCAGCCTGAGTGTGGGTCCTGGGGAGGGAGGGGGAAGGGAGGGGTCAGAGGGGCAGGGGGCCAGCGTGACCTTTCTGGCCCCCGGCCCAGCACCCACCAGCATCTTCACAGAGCCCGGCCACCCCCACCTCACCCAGGCAGAGCCACCCAGGAGGGAGAAGCAAGGCCCAAGGATAAAGGCTAAGAATCCAAATGGTCTTCATAAATCACATTTACAGATCACTTCCTGGGGGCCCAGCACCCCTCGCACTCCTTGTTAATCACCAACAGGAAAGGTGGTGGTGGCCAGCTAGTGAACTAGACCCAGGCTATGCCGCTTGCCCCGAACTACCTAGTCACAAATTTGGGTAAAGCCACTGATTCTTAAAAAGGCTAAGTAACTCTGCAGGCAGGAGAACAGCAAGCAGCTGGAGGGGAAAGCTCAGGTTCAGATTCCGTGTTCATAGTTCACTGGCTTCTGGGTCTTACTTTACTCACTCATAATGTGGGGGGGAATAGTGGTACCTATTCTATAAGCTCATTGGAGAACTAAACAAACCGATGCTTTGAAAGTATCAGCACAGGACACAATCTCAGAGGGCAAGTGTGCAATTAATGCTCATCAGTGCAACGATTATTGTTGCTCAAATATAAGCCACCTTGTTTGATTTCAACAGTAACCACGACCTAACAATAGACTGCTCCCTAGTAACACCGCCAATCACAGTGGGGTTACTAGGTGCCTTTTGGTGTAATAAACCCTTCCCAAACACTTCTCAAAGTGGCCTTCCCTAACCACCTCCTAACCCCAGAAGAATCCCACCCCCATCCTGCCTCACAAATTATCCTGACCTCAAATTATTTCCATTTCCACACTTTCCCTGATTTGTAACGATTATTTTCTCGGATGGCTAGTCTAGCTTCAGGAGCAGGCCGTTTTGCTCACTGATTGCTTGGCCAGTGCCCGGCATTAAGTAGGCACCTATAATTATCATTTAATAAAAGAAGGAATGAACTGGTCAACCAATTGCTCAGCCAATCACTTCACTGCCCAGCCTCCAATCGCTGCAGGGTGGAGATGAGACCGGGAGGCCCTGGCGCTTCCCTTCCTGCCCCTCCCTTGCCCGCCCCCCCCCCCCCCCCGCCCCCCCCCCCCTCCGCGGCGCCCACCTCGGAAGACGTGGACAGAGAGTTGTCCAGGCCAAGACTGTTCTTCCCCGGGGGGCTCTTGCTGGTGCTTAAGGAATCGCTGCTGCCGGCTGCGGAGGGGATCAGGGAAGGAGGTCAAGGGCTGGAGTCGGGGCCCTGTCGTGGCACCGCCCGGCAGAGGCTCCCACTCCCTCACTGGGCGGCAGTCCCCTTACCTTGGGGAGGCAGGCCATAGGGCCCAGGGACTGGGCCGTTGGCGGCAGGCAGGGCGGCAGGCAGGGCGGGGAAGGGCACAGAAAGCTGCACGTTGAGAATCTGCAACCGCTCCTTCTTGGCCGTCAGGCTCAGGATCTGTTCCTGAAGCCGCTGGTTTTCCTTCTGCAGCGCGTGCAGGGCCTTCAGCATCTCCACGACTGCGGAGATAGGGTGAGAGCGCCTGAGCCCCGCATGCCTGGAGAGGCGGGGCGATGGCAGTGGGCGGGGCGAGAGAGCCGGAGGCGGGGCCTGGAGGGCGGGGCCTGGCGGAGGAAATCAGACTCTGACCTAAAAGAGAAGGCGCCTGCTAGCCAGAGACTCAGGTGAGCTGGGAGAGGCGGGACCCCGGGGAGCCAGAGGTGTGAGGACTAGGGGCGGGGCCTGAGGCTGGGGGGTCGAGGCTCTGACTGGAAGCGCAAAGGCGGGAGGAAGTTGGAGCTCAATAATGTAAGGGCCAGGAGGCCGCGGAGGCCGAAGGCGGGGTGCACAAGTGGCGGGTCCAGCAGCCTGGCCTAGCAGAGGTTAGAGGTAAGGCTTGCGGTAGCCAAGAGTTGAGACTGGGGCGAGGCCAAGGGACGGAACCTTAAAGAAGTTTGGGGACCTCGGAGAGAAAGGTGACCGAGTCTGGGGGTCCTGGGGAACGTCTCCCAGCCCGGTCCCACCCCTCCTCACTGTTGACACCGGCCTCGCCGTCGCCCTGCTTCTCCAACAGCTGCTCCATATTAGTCGTTCCCGGGGCCGCTGGGTCTAACTGGCCACCCCCACAGGGTGCAGAGGCTGTCTGGTCAAAGAGTGCGGGGAGGCTGCTGATGGGGGACCTGGGGTCGGGAGAAAAAATCGGGCTCAGGCTTACCTCCCGTCCCCACTCCTGTGTCCCTCCTCCCCCCCTTAGGGGTTCCAGTCGTCCCCTCTTGGACCCCACCCTCTCCTGGCGCCCGATTCTCCGTCCCCTCCTCCCCTAGCGTCCCTCCAGCCCCGCTCCCTGCCCCTCCCCCAAGCCGCCGCCCCCTCCCTCACATGGAAGACAGACTCTCCTGGGGGGAGGTCCCCCGACACCGGAAGCTGCAGTCCTCCAGGTCTGGCTCTTGGAAGGAGAAGGGGAGCAGGGATCAGCGGGGAAGGGGTGCCGTCGGCCTCACGGTCCCCGCCTGGGAAGTGGGTGCAGGATCTGGGACCTCATCGCAGATCCCTTTTCCTCAGGACCTCCCCCAACCCCAGACTGGCAGTTCTAGCTTGGAAGGCGCTGGGAGCCCGGGCTTGGAAACCTGGCCCCTTGGGAGGCACAGCCATGGGATCTGGTCTCTTTCCCTCTCTCTAGGCCGAAGGGCGGCCGCTGCCTGGCTTCTTTCAGAACCACCTCCCAGTCTCTTTCCTGGCCGATTCAGGGTTATAGGGATTCAGGGTCTAGACAGTCCTCGGTTGAACATGGATCTGATACTTGCTATGTGACCTTGGGCTGGAAACTAAATCTCACTAAAATGACTGTTAGGAGGATTACAAACAAGGTAATAAATGTGGAGTGTCAGCGGTCCTGCAACATGCCCTTATTGACTGCAGCTTTTGTAATCAGTCCTGTGCAACTTCTCATACTCATAAACTCACGAGTTAGACTGCAAAACCTTGTTGAGCCACAGAATTCCAATTTGGGTTTTGGAAAAGATAGTCACCCTGAGCTGTCAGGTCATTAACTCTGGAGTCGGATTCCGCCCCTTTAAGGAGGTTTACCTGAACTGGCGGCCGGGGCGTGAGGCCCGCCCCCTAACCGGCCAGGTGGTGTCTCTGCACCAATCAGCTCTCTGGGGCTGGGTTGGCTCTCTAGGGAGGGGGAGGGGCGCCTGTGATCCTCCCCCTTAACTCCGAAATACCCGAAATACCCGGAGCGCAGGTGTCCTAGCTGGTGCACCCAAAGGCCCCATTCTGAAGACTAAGAGGCCAGCCGGGAACTATGCAAGTGACCAGAGAACTGGGCTTGGGGTGAGGACCAGAATTTGAGCCGTGGTTCTCAACTGCTTTGAGCAGATCATTAAGCCTTTTTCTTCTGTGAGATGGAGCCGTAGTAATTCTGCCGGTCCTGTCCTCTCCACGATTTTTTTTTTTTTAACGTGAAAGTGTACCCTGGCTTGTTATGCGTGGATTTTTCCCCCCCAGGGCGGGAAATGGCCAGAGGGAGGGGGCAGCCAGAAAACCCTCCCATCTTTCTGGGGTGACATGCAGGTGATGGGTGCCCCTCAGGTCTTTGGAAAGAAAGAGGAATGGGGTCAGAGACACGTACCTGTGTGGCTGCTCTCGGCTTGGGTGAGGAGGGGGTTAACGGCACCCATGGGGGTTCCAAAGATGTGGGTAGAAGGGAGGCTAAAGGTAGAGCCAGCCAGAGAAAACACCTGAGGGAAAGGAGGGATAGTCCAGCCTGGTGGTTATTCTGGGATCTAGGGCACAACCATGTATACATAGAGGGGGAGGGGGGGATCAGGTGTGCTGGGGAGGACAGGGCCAGAGAGAGGGTGATATTCTGGTGGCCACCAAGCCCAATCTCTCAGTCTCTCCCATGGATAGCTGGCATCCCCAGCAGTCTGTCCCCCACCTGCCCAGGGATGGAGGAGCCCAGGGGTAAGGCCTCACCTGAGTGGTGGAGATAGAAGCAGAGGAGGAGGGGAGGGTGCTGGTGAATGGGGAACGGCTGAGGCGGGGCAGGGCCGAGGTCCCTGGGGGCCCCAGCAGGCTGGAGGAGAGGGGGGTGCTGCAGACAGCACGCAGCATTCCACTACTGCCACCATGGGAGATGGGGTCCTTATTACTGGTGTAGATGCCTACAGGCACAAGAAGGACACAGAGGGATGCTTACAGTTACCATTCCCCCCAGGACCCTCCCTCAGTCAGGTGGCTGGGGCAGCCCCTCCCCAGAGAGAATGCTCCCCTGGATCAGTCTAACCCTCTTAGCTGCAAAGATGTCACCTCTTGCCTGTGTGTGACATTTGTTTGACATGCCTGCTTATTAGACTGCCCTGCCCAGACCAGGAGGATTCCAGGCTTTTCTAATAGGTGAGTCCTATTGGCAGTCTACTCCAATCTCTCCCACTACAACCCCGCAGAAGATGGGTACCACGGAGTGTCTTAGAGGCGACTGGTTCTTCCATCCTTTATCTCTGTCCTTTGGAGCAGTTTCTATCACATTTCCCTTGGATTGCATGCTTATGCCTCTGTTCCCTCACTAGACTGGCTGGGGCCTGAGACACCCAAGGGTCACTAACCTGCCCCTAGCAGGGGGGACTCCAGGCTCAGGCTGGGAAGGCTTCCTGAAGGCCCAAACGTGCGGGAGGCCAGACCCCCCAGGCCAGAGCTGACCAGGGAACCTCCAGAGAAGGGTGAGGCAGCAGTGGCCGTAAAGCCAGCCAGCTGGGCATTGGGCAGGGAGGGGGCAGCTGGGCCCCCAGTCCCCTCCTTGTTCCGGCTGCCCTTGGGACGACCTGGTCCATGTCGGCTCCTCTTGCTAGCCTTGTGCTTCTTCTCCTTCAGGCCTGTCTCAGGGGTTTCCTCAGCAGGCACAGGGGCGGCACTCAGTGTGGGCATCCGCTTGTGGGTGCCTGCTGAGGCCCCGGACCCGGAGACGTGAGGAGACTTGTAGTCTCCGGGGGATGGGGCCCGGGCCCGGCCCGAGCTGGAGGTGGTGGTGGTGAAGCGCATGATGGGCCCAAAGCCAGAGAAGACCACCTTCTGCTCAAAGAGATCAGCCTTGGGGGGCTCGGGGGCTGAGGGAGAGGGGGGTGCTGAAGGGGTAGGGGCTGCAGGCTTGGAGTACTTGTCCTCCTCTGGCTGCTCCAGCTTGGGGAACGTCGAGAAGTCGGGGGAGCTCTGCAGGGACGAGACTGCACAGAGGGGAAAATGGAATTACAGCTGGGCCCCAGATCTGCGCCACCCCCACCCCCCCACCTCCCCACCCTCGCAACTGCACTAGCTGGAGAGAGCTCTGGTGGGGGGCTGGGGAAGACTGGGTTCCTGTCCCAGCTCTGCCACTGTCTCTATGTCTTGGGATGAGCATCTCCCCCGCCCACACACACAGCTTTCCCATGTGTGATAAAGGGGAAAGAGAACTCCTGCCCAGCTGACCTCACCGGACTGTAGAGATTACAGGAGCTATCATTAGTGTTGGTACTTTAACAATGGCCCCTCAAGGCCCAAGTGCAGGGGATGGCAAATACTGTCAGGGCAGTGGAGGGGTGGGGCCTGAGAGGGAGGGGCTGGAGAGGCTTCGCTTGGTGGGGAGCCCCCATCTTTAACCAATTTAAGAAGCAAACGAGATGCAAAGCAGTGTGCAGAGGCCCTGGCTGGGCCAAAGGCTGTCCCGCCCCCAGCTTCCTCCAGGATGCCCACACTCACCTGCAGGCTGGAAGGGCCCCCCAGAGGAGGAGGAAGAGGAGGAGGAGGAGGAGGAGGAGGAGGAGGCCGAGGTGAAACTGCTCACACCTTTCCCACTGCTCAGTTTCTTCCCCTTGTGACTCAGGCTATGGCTGGAAGACTTTTTCCCCTTCGAGTCCCTGCTGCTCTCAGAGGTCTCCTGAGTGCTGGCCTCATGGTGGGAGGACGAGGAAGCTGAGGAGGGGACCTGAGGGAAGGAGGAGAGGGGAAGGCTCAAGGCCAGCTGTCTGGGCTCACTCTGATCTGGGTGTGTGGCAGATGCAAACGGGGCTGTCTACTACGGGGAGAGTCCAAGTTTGCTTAGGGAAGGACCTGTGGGTGGAGACCCCAGATCAGGGAGGTGGGTGTGAGGAGAGGGGAGTCTGTCTGTCCTTCACCTGAGGCAGAGGGGAGTGAAAACAGTCCCTGAGCTCGTACACATGTGCCCATCTGTTCAGTCATCCACTGAAGAAACACTCAGTGGGCCCCAGAAGCCCAGACGTGCTGACCGTGACATGCGCAAGGGAGAGGCACCACTGCCCGGGCCCCATCCTCGAGCCCCCCAGTCACCACTCCTTCACCTGAAACCCCCTCCCCTGGCCACTCTGGGCTCTTCAGCAGTGCCAAGCTTCTGTCAGGACAGTCTCTCCTTACTCTTCCTGGGAAACTTCTCGTCCTTCCAAATCCAGCTTGGAAGTCTGTGAGGCCTTAATCCACGAGGCCACCTAAATCCCTGGGGTGGACCTGGTTGCTCTGTCCTCTTACATCCAGAGCACCATGTCCTCACAGAGGCCATGTCCACAGTTGCCACACCACCCTGAAATACTAGTCCCCACATCTGAGGCCTCCAGCGAGCCCCAGAGGGCAGCATGGGCTCTGGGGTCAGGCAGAGCAGGCGGGCGGCCTGGGGGGCTCTACCATCCACGGCTGTGCTATGCTGTGCGGCCTCTCAGCCTTGCTGAGCTTCAGGGTTCTTAGAGGACCAATGAGGCCTCTTTGGAATGGCACGAGGAGCACAGGGCCAGATACAGAGTGGGGGGTCAACCAAGTCAGGTGCTGGCAGCCGCTGTGAATATACTGCCGAGAGACCATGGCCTGTGCGAAAGTATGGGCCTTCAGGCCAGATTGCCTGTGTTCAAATCTCCACTCCCTCGCCTACCTACAAGCTGTGTACTTCTAAGGTAGGTTACTTAACCTCTCTGTGCCTGGGCTTCTGCGTTTACTAGACTGGGTTAATATAATACCTACTTCACTGGATTATTTTAAGGATGAAATGAGCTAATCCCCACAGACCCCTTCCATCTTCCTGTTCAAGAAGGGACCCTGGCATGTGGTGAGGGAGCGAGTGAGGGCTTTGTGGTACCACCAGGGACAGCGCTCTTCCTCCCGGAGGAGGCCATGTACTCTGTAACCGGACAAATGCTAGAGGAAGGTTGGATCAGGGGATGAGAATCACCCTGCGCTGCCCTTCCCTGGGCAAAGTCCTGGTCTCTGTCTTCCTCTTTGTTCTTTTCAACAGCTGGAGTTCTGAAGGGAGCCAGATGTGGTTCTGAGAGCAAGGGAGGAAAGGGCCAAGGGGGAGGGGTAGCTGAAAGACAGGGATGGGTGGAGGGGGATGGATAGAAGTCTCCTACATGTCCAAGGGGACACCTGGCCGCTAGGAACTCCCATATCTCCGGCCCTATTTCCACCTGCCTGCAGGCCCCAGGGAAAGGTCAGAGGGCATGAATGACAAGCTTTTCCAGGTGAGCCCTGGGAAGCAGGCCGGGAGAGGGTTACTGGGATGGTTGCCACAACATCACCCCGGAAACCCGATACCCGAGCCTCCTGCAAAGATGATGCCCAGAGCTCTGCCTGCCTCTGAAGGCGGTGGAGGTGAGTGGGGTGGTAAAGGCAACAGGAAGAAGCAGTTTTTCCAGGCCCCCATGCTCCTTCTGCAAGGGGGTGGGGAGGCGGGCTGGCAGGAGGGGAAGGCAGGGGCCCGCTCTGGCTTGGATTAGCAGCTCCCTGGCCTCGGGGAGGGCCTGCCGGTTGCTCCTCCAGATGTTGCCCATTTCTGGAGACAGGCCTGACAGAGCAGGCCTGGGAAGGGTGGGATGAGTGGGGGTTTCGGGGTGCTGTTTGTGGGCCTGCCCCATGCCACCATGGCATTTGCTTGGGAGACAGGCTCTTGGCAGTGTCCTTATGTGGGGGGCAGAGGTGGGAGCTAAAGGGTCCTCTCTGCCTATCTCCGGGGCAATGGGCCCCAGAACTTGGGAGAACCAGCCTGAGTGCTATACCCGCGGACAAGAGCCTGGTGCCGGGGCTCTCTGTCTGGACAGAGGCAGATGGAAACATCTGGCAGCCAGCAGGCAGGGCAGCAGCACCTCCCCACCCTGACCCTCCTGGTTGGTCAGTGATTGGTGGGGCTGAGGAGCACAGGGTAGAAGCAGGGAGTGGAGGGCGGGGTAGGGAACACAGGCACAGTGACCTGAAGCTGCTGGGGGGTACCCAGAGTTCCTGGCTCACTTCCACCCCTCAGGACTTGCCTCCCTCCCCTGCCTTAACCGCCCCCCCAGGTGTGGGCAGCAGTACCTTGTCAGCAGTGGGGACCACAGGCGGGGCGAGGATGCTGGGGGGTGACTCAGGCCGCTTCTTGTGCTTCTGTTTAAGGCGTTCTTTGTCCTTTCGACTCTGGGGAGGGAGAAGTGACCAGGTCTGGATTGTGAGGGACAGTCTGGGTGAGGCTACACATGCTGCAAGCATGCAGGCGGTAGGCCCCTCTCAGGGAGGGGCTTTGTGGGCATTCCCCCCCAACCCCCGTGAAGAGACTGGGGGACTTAGGCTGGACAAGAATGGTTTGGGCAGGTCGCTCTGGGAGCCAACAGCTCCTCCCCGTCCTCCACATGGCTCACTAAAAATAGCCTGTCCCATTAGCACTCCAGGGACACAGAGTACCACACACAGGAGCCCACACCTGCGAGGATGTCCACCTGGGACACGGAGCTGTGTGTGGAGCTGGGCTGAGAACCAGGCACACAGGGGTGTACGGCATGAGGGATGGAGACAATTAGGTTGCTGCGTGTCTAGACGGTGGGGGTGTCTCCAAATGTGCAGGGCCATGTGTCGAGGGCTTGGGAGATGTTGTCATGTCATGTCATGAGGAAGACTCAGAGGAACCTATCTCCGAGAGCTCCAGGAAGCCAGACCCTCATCTTACCCTCCCTGATCCTCATGTGTCACTTCCTCAGTCCCCTGCTGGCCCTTAGTGGTCTCAGAGGAAGGACGGGGGCAGGCCCCAAGGCCTCAGGGGCACCTTGTGGTGGTTTCTTGAGTTGTGTTGGGGTGTCTGGGTGGCTCAGTCAGTTGAGCGTCTGCCTTTGGCTCAGGTCATGATCCCAGGATCCTGGGATGGAGCCCTGCATCCCCAGCTCCCTGCTCAGTGGGGGGCCTGCTTCTCCCTCTCCCTGCTGCTTGTGTTCTCTCTCAAATAAATAAGTAAAATCTTAAGGAAGGAAGAAAGGAAGAAAGAAAAAGAGAAAGAAAGAAAGAAATGAAGGAAAGAAGGAAGGAAGGAAGGAAGGAAGGAAGGAAGGAAGGAAGGAAAAAAAAGAGTTCTGTGTGTGTGGGTGTGGGCAGGAGAAGGAAAGGGAGAAGGCACTTACCTTCTTCTGGCCCCTTTCATGGTGGGAAGGGTGCTTCTCCTGCTGAGTGGATGGAGAGGCTGACCGGCTTCTCCGGCCAGCAATAAAGCCACTGCCACCGCCCCCTGTACCCCCTCCTCCTCCTGTTCCTCCGCCTCCCCCGCTGGTATGCCGGGATGTCTTCTGGGGAAAGAAGAGAGAAGAACTGCCAAACCATCCTTTCGCTAGGTTCAGAAAGGATTCCTGAAAGTCAAATGATCCTGGGGGGCCAGGCCCTCCCACCCTGCTTGTCACTAAAAGGACCTTGTGTCTTCAGTGATGCTCTGCCCGGCAGAAGGCATTCTCTAGTCTTAAATCCTGGAGCCTCCTGGGTTGGCTTATCCAATGCACAGATTCAGCAACTGAGGCCCAGAAAAGCTAGAGGCATCTTGGCCCTAGCAAGGAACCACTGAAGGTAGGACAAGGCCTCCTGGCCCATCTCAGGCAGCCTGAGCCACAGCCCAGTTCCGCCTTTCACTGGGGTAGAGGCTACATGGGGGACCTCCGAGGAGTCCCTGCTCCCCTGTACTCCGCCCCATGCTCCCCTCCAGATACTTCGTTCCAGCCATTCTCTCTTGATCCTGGCCCTCCCCCTCCATCAAACCCACAGCGGGTCCTTCTGTCCCAAAGGACCTGATGTCCTTAAGTGGAGGGAAGTAAACATGCATGGCAGCAAAACCACAAATGATCCTTGTTCTGCCTCTCCTCCCAGCCAGGGCCTTCCCCCTCCTTCCCTTCACTGCTGAGGACTGCTCCCTGCCTGATAGCTTCACCTGTCCCAGACTTGCAGGTATCCCCTCTGAGGTCACCCACTGCCTCCCAGTTGCCACATCCAAGGACTAATTTCAAGCCCCATCCAAGCCAGTTGCTCCCCAGTGGTGGGTACTGCTCCTATCTTGCCAAGCACAAGACTCTCCCCTTCATGGTCCCCCTCACACCTTGCCCCACCGAATCCTGGTGGGCACCTGAGGATTCCAGCCCAGCCTTCTCTCCTTAGGGCTGCCACCACCACCCTGCCTGGGGGGCTGACAGCCACCAAACCTGAACATCCCCACGTGGCCCCTCCCGTTGGCCCCACAGAGCTCCCTACCTTGTCCTAAATTGTCATCAAACCCTGAAACCAAGGTGACCATATAATTTATGATCCAAACCAGGACACGTTTGAAAACAAAAGGGGGAACTATTAATAATTACACCAGGGTGACAGGTATGAACTGGAACTATCCAGGGCAGAACAGGACATAGGGCACTGCTACAGAAGCCCATTGTACCCGCCCTGTTCATAGCAGGCTGAGGTGCCCGAGCACTGAGAGCCCGGATGCTCCGTCCCACCCTTAAATCCTCCTTCTCAGCCACCCCCACACGCAGGCCTGTCTACCTAGAAACGTTCAAGAGTCCAGCCTTATCCCTCCAGCAACCCCCCGCCCCCTCGCAGCTGTCTCCCAGCCGCCAGCCTCGGCCCTTCGGATCTAGCCTCACAGTGCCTGCCAGGGTAATCTTCCTAAAAAACAAATCTATCATGTTACCCTCTTGCTTACGAGCCTGTGGCCCGGGGGGTGAGGTCCAAGCCGCACCCCTCAGTCAGGTGAAGCCTCCCTCTCCAGGGTAGTCCCAGAGTTTCCATAGCAGGTGGGTCTCCCCACAACCATGGAGTAGAACCCCTCCTCCAGCCTCTCCTGAGACCCCAGAAGCCTAGGCCAGAAGCCAGCCCTGCTTTGGCCCTGCCTGAGTATTCTGGTCATCTCCTGCCTCATTCTCCCCCAGCACCCGGTTCTGTTCCCAAGTTCTTATTCACCTCAGGACTTGGCCCATGCCAGTCCCTCTACCTAGGACTTCTTTCTTTCTGTCTTTGCTTGGCATGTCCCCAAGGAGCTTTCAGATCAAACTGTGTGTTCTGAATCCCGCCACCAGCTGTGGGATAAGTTACACGACCTCAGGGGGTCTTCGTTTACTAATCTGTAACATGGAAAATACAGTATACCCAGTTCTTAGGGTTGCGGGGAGGACACCATAAACCGACACACGTAAAGAGCTTCTTACAGAGGCCAGAGCACAGTCATCCCCACAAACGTTGGCTCTTAAGGCTTCCACTTCTACTCCACTTAAATGCCACCTCTTCCTTGAAGCCTCCCAGACTCTGACAGGCAGGGTCTGAGCTCTGTCTTCTGGAATGGACCACCTGACTCAGCCCTCATTCACCTCCCATGGGCTCTACTTCAACCCATTCCTTATCCAGTGGCAAAGCTCCTCACGGCAGGGCCTGGGCTCCGTCCACCTCTGTCCTCCCAGCACCCGGCTCCAGCCTGGCCCAGAACCTGTGCCCTCTCGAAAGCAGGACTGACTGACCCCCTCACGGCCTGGTGGACAAGACTCACCATTTTGCTGAAGTGGTATTTGCAATAGCCACAGTACTTGACGTTGTCCACCTCCAGCACTTCCTCCTCACACAGCAGGCCTGCCATTTGGGCGCTAAGCAAAAGAGTCAGTCTGAGAAGCGTGTGGCCGCATACCAGAGCGGGCCACCTTCTTCCCACCCTCCCGGACTGTGGCTTGCGGGAGGCCAAGACCGTCCAAGGGAATCGCTGCCATCACCGCCAACGAGACAGCTGTCCATGGCAGAACTCCGAGGGCCAGCTGGCGGGGGATCCCAGGGAACCCTGGAGGGGGCGGGGACAGGCAGGGGTCTCACCAGGTGACATGGAAAGCTTGCCGACATCCGTGGCGGTTACAGGTCATGCAGGCTCCTGAGGCCGCCTTGCTCTCCCGGCCCTGCTCCTCACAGATGTAGCATGTCTGCAGGACACGGTAGAGTCGTCCCCTCCTCCCTCCTACCCGAGGGATCCCTTGGCCTTCTCAGCTCTGTCCTCTCCCCAGAATCCTAGGCCAGTGCTATCCAATCAAAGCTTCTGTGGTGATGGAAATTTTCCATACCGCGCTGTCCAGTACAGTAGCCATAAACCACACGGGTTACTGAACACCTGAAATGTGGCTCTTGTGACTGAGGAACTAAACTTTAAATCGTGTTTCATTGTAATTAATGCTGGTAGCTACAAGGCAGGACAGTAGTCTTTGGAAGGTGAGCCCTATAATGCTGAGGACTCTGTCTGCCTTACTCGCAGTCAGCTTCCCCCACCGCTGGGCCTTTGCTCATGCTGTTCCTTCTCCCTGGATCCAGAAACCCCCCACCAAGGCTGGCTTCAGCCTACATGTCTCTTTACTTGACCACTTTATCTAACGTCAGGCCCCCAGGAGGTAGTCTGTATTTTTGTACCTTGTTTCTTTTCTTCACAGCACTGACCACAAACTGCATTTATTTTATTTGCCTGTTTACTGGCATTTACAGTCTTCCCACACAAAACTATGCATTCCACAGGGCAGGGAACACAACTGTTTTGATAAGTGACCCCATGTGCCTGGTACCTCAGCCCAGGCCTGGCACACGGTAGGCATTCCATACAACATGTTCAGTGAATGAGTAGGTGACAAGCTTGCTCAGGTCCACGACCTGGCATTACTACTGCCATGGGGCCCGCTCGTCCACACAAGTTCCAGAGCACAGGCGTGTGTCTGGCAGTGGAAAGCGCTGACCCACCTCTTGAGTCCCCCTTTGGCTGGACAGACTCCAATTACACTGGATGGAGAGAGAGCTGGAGGGACCCCAGGACCACTGGCTGGGGGGTGGGGTGGGGGTTGGGGCAGGGGCTGGTACAGGCCAGGCTGGGCCCACTGACCTTGTTGAAGCGGTCATGAGGCACGTACTGCAGCACGATGGGCTCCATGGTGAGCACGTTGGCGAACTGCACCTCCGGGATGTAGAGGGCACACACCACGTGGGCCCAGCCTGGGGCAGTGGGGGGCCGGCCTGAGACCCTGGCACCTCACCACCCCACACAGTACACAGTTCCCCCCCCCAACAGCCTTCCCATCAGATTCTAGTGCCAGCAAGGGAAGGAAAACCCAACCTCCAGCCCCACCCCGGCCACCCCAAAATAGTCCACTCCTCCTTCCCAGTTCTCACTCAGGGGCTCTGCTGACCTCGACCGATGAGCTCTTGGGCTCAGGGCCCCCCTCACCTCCATTATCAGTCCTCTTCAATGCCCCGTCTTTGTGTGGGCACAGCTCACACCTCTGCCAATGCAAGGGGGCACAGGGATTTTGGGGGGGGCTTTCCAAGAGGGGATGGGGGGATCTGCTGAGCTGGGCCCCTCCTGAACACATTCACAGGGCCCCAGGATGAAGTGAGCAGTTAAGGGGGATGTGTGGGGCATGGAAGGAACTGGGTTGGCCATGAGTGATAATTGTCAGAGATGAGTGATGGGGACACGAGGTTCATTATAGTATTCCCTCTACTTCTGTACATTTTGAAAACTTTCCATAATAAAAAGTTCAAACAACAAACAAACAAAATAAAAGGCCCAGTGCTGGGGGTTGGGGAGGAGTAAAGGATAAGCTGAGGGAGAGATGGGTTGGTGAGAGATGTGCAGGAAACAGGAAGTCCTGTGTGACAGTCCCACCCTAGCCTCCGCCTCTCTGAGTCCCCGAGTTCAACTGGGAGGAGATGCTCAGGTGTACAGGACCAGGGAGGGAGTCAGACTCACCACCCTGGCTGCTCGCTCCTGAGATTCACATTTCCGGCAGAACCAGGGTCCCGTTGGCACCTGGACGATGCCATAGCAAGCTGGGGGTGGAAGAATCATCAAGGAAATCTGTCAGCAGCGGCTCCTCTCAGAGCAAACGGGGAAGGGGGTGACTCTAAAGGAGAGGGGGGCTGTTCCCATCTGGAGTTGCTCACTAGACAGCAGGATCACAAGGAATGCCTAACAGCACATGGCCAGCCTTCGACCACACAACCAAGCAGTCCAAACCAGGATAAGAAGTCTGAGTACTTGACCTTAAACTTCTAGAAGACCCCCACTCCCACCCTATGCTCTTTTTGGACCTGTTCCCCAAAGCCTGCCTGGAAACTGTCCTCATCATCAGGGATAGAGGAAACCAGAGGGACAACATTTACTACAGTCAAACACGTTTTGTTGTTATGGGGGGGGGGGGGCATTTCTTAAAGGGCCAGTCAGGGAAGAGGTGGGGAAGTAGGGGGTCCAGGGACCTCATCTCAAGCCTCTGACTATAATAGGTACAGGTCAAAAGTCAAGGCCGGAGGGCAGGTGCAGTGCAGGTAACCAAGAGGAGAACGGTGGGAAGCCTGGACAGCCATAGCATTAAGGGTTGTCCCAGGAAGGGGTTAGGGGGAAGCTGGCTGAGCCAGACAGGCGGGAGATGCCAGCCTGCGCCCTCGGCAAGACTCCTCAAGGAGTTAACTCCGAACCATGTGCTGTTGGGGGAAACTCCAAACCTCCCTCTTCTCCATTCCCGGCCCCCTGCACAACCTCTCTCCTATTCGCAGCTCTTCCCGGAGGATTTTAGGAGTCCCCTCTCCCCTGGGACCCTTCTCCTCCCTTCCCAATTCCGCTCCTCCCAGTATCCGGAAGTGGGAGGGGGGATGACCCCCCCTTGACCTCTCCCTCCCGGAGCTGGGACCAAAATAACCGAGCGGGAGGGGACACCTCGCAGGTAAACATTCCCCCAGCAGCCCCGACACCGGCCGTGTGGGGCGCGGAGAGTGCACTCACTGCCCCCTAGTCTGTCCCCAAACTCCCTCAACTTGGGGTGGGGGGCGCGGGACTGGAACAATAGGCAAGAAAACAATGCCTGACCCGGTCCTCCAGGACCGGGCGGGAGGACCCCCCCGACGCCTCCCTTCCCTTCAGGTGGGGTGGGGGAGGGGCGCCCGAGCCCCAGGAGGTCTCCGGAGGGCGCGGCCCGGGGCTCCCCGCGCGCGCCGCCCCCGGGGTCCCGCCGCCCCCCGCGGGCCACCCCCGTACCTTGGTGGACAGCCACGCTGCACGCGTGCCCATCACAGTAGACCAGCGGGTTCTCGGCCCAGCCCCTCTCGTCCGAACATACGCAGCAGCCTCCTACCATCTCCTTCATACTCCCATGAGCTCCCTCCGGGGCTGGGGCGGGGGGCCGGCCGGCGGGGGTCGGGGGTCAGGGGGGGAGGGAGGGAGCGGGGAGCCGCGCGCCTCCTCGCTCCCTCCTCCTCCTCCTCCGCCGCCGCCGCTTCTTTTCTTTGCCTCCTCCTTCCTCCTCCTCGGCGTCCTCCTCCTCCTCCTCCTCCTCGCTCGCTCTGTCTGGCCGCCCCCCCC